GTGTGTGTGTGTGTGTGTGTGTGTGTGTGACTGTGTGAAAGTGTGAAGAACAAATAATTGCATATGGGGCAAAGGCAGTGGGACGAGAATTTTGTCGGCTTGTCTGTAAAAAGTATATCTGTTTTCAATACTTTCTTTCAACTTTTTGACCCTTCTCCTCCTCCATCTATGAATTTCCTTGGCCATTCATTTTATTACGTGTGTCCTAATTATATCATTTTTTTTATATGTTATAATTAGTTTTGCTTTTGTTGGATTCCAAATTTCCAATTTAGTGATGTCTAGAAGAGGGTGCACTACTCATATTGAGTACTAGAGTGCGGGAATTTTTTCTCTCTTCGTAGAATTTACAGATTTACAATCTTCCCAGCATTGATTGACTTTCTGCCTAATCTCTTCCTTAATCTATTTCATTTTTTTTGTTTCAAATCTCTTGTCCTATTCTCCTGTAATCGGATTCCTAGTAAGGTTCTCAGAATTCCACGTTAAGATGGAAAGCGAGATCATTGAGAAGTTCAACAAATTTGAGCTTTCAGATAAAGAAAAAAAGGCATAACCCTAGAAGAGACGGATGTGGAGCCAAGTGTTCAAGAATGTGCTCTTAGCCTGATTGGTAAGATCGTGGGAGAGAAGAAGGTGCATTTGGGGGGCTTGAAGACGACGATGAGTTTGGTATGGCGTACAACAAGACCCTTCTCTATTCGCTCGCTAGGATCAAATCTTTTCCAATTTATATTCCAAGCAGAAGAAGACAAGTAGAGAATTCTTACAGGTAAGGCATGGTCCTTTGATGGACAATACCTCCTGTTAAAAGCATGGAATAAAGGTGAAATTGAATTCAATTAGGAGGAACTAAAAGGTTGAATTGTGGGTCCAAATCCACAATCTACCAATACATTGGATCTCCTTAGAGACAGGTTCGAGAGTGGGCCGTTATTTTGGTAAAGTCCAAAATGTGGTATTCTAGTGAGCAAGCAATGACAAGGGGCAGATGATCAGGATATTGGTGGAGGTCAGTATGGTTGATCCACTTCCTAGAGGAACTCACCTTAAGCTGAGTTCTGAAGAGACATGGATTGACTTTAAATACGAAAACCTCCTCACTTTTTGATTTTACTGCGGAAGGATTGGGCACAATGATAAAGCCTGTGAAGTGAAAGAGGTGGATATCCAGAGGAACATGGTTAAATTAGGTCAATATGGGGAATGGCTTAGGGGGTCATTTGGGGGTCTGAGCGAGGGTAGAGATAAGAATGCCCCAAGCCCAAAGAGTTAGAAAGTTAGCTATGAGTCCAGTAGAGACAAAACCTCAGGAGAGGGAGGGGTAGAGCCTAATGTTCTAGTTAATTCCAAAGAGTCTGGGGGAAGCCAAAACATTGTTGAAAAAAACTTGGTTGAGGGAGGAGTAGAGTCTATCGGAGGGGAGATCTTAATAACAGAGCCAATGTCACAAGGGATTGGGGAGGGTAGTAAGGAGGTGGTTGGGCTTAAGGTTTCTCCTATAGAGTGTATGGAGCTGGATGCTGCTAGTACCCCTAATATGGAGTCATTAGAACTAGTTGTGATGGCTGTTAAGATAGATAACAAGAAACTATTGTCTTCTAGTAGTAAAAAATCTGTTACTAGGATTACTAGAAGTAAATTGTCTGATGCTAAGAATAAAGGAAAGAGTACTGATCCAAAAACCCCAACACTCTGAATCTGGTTCTTAAATGTTAAAAAGAAAAGAGTTGTGTGTTGATCAGAAAAGAGTTGTGTGTTGATCAGGGAGGATTACCTCAAGGTGTGTTTGTTACTAAAAAACTAAAATTGGGGGAAGGTCTTGTTCATAATCAGGTGGAGGAAACCAACCATATATGGTCCCAAGTTTCCAAATGAGGGTGCTGGTGTGGAATTGTAGAGGTCTGGGAGGACCCTCTACCATTCCCCAGTTGAAGGATAGTATGAGGGCCTACCTCCCTGTTTTTACTTTTCTATGTGAAACAAAAAAAGAAAAAATCTTTTGTTGAAACTGTTTGTAAGAATATTAATGTAGGGTCTAGGTGGAGTTATGTCAGTCATTTAGGTACTAAAGAAGGTATGTTGTTATGCTGGTCTGATAATGTGGTAATTTATGAACTTATATCTAACTCTTTTAGTTTTGAGGTGTGTTTTAGTATAAATGGTAATGATGATAAATTATGGGCTATTTTTGTTTATGCTAGTGTCATTCAGGGGGAAAGGCAGCTCCAGTGGGAACACTTATGTAGGAGTCAGTCTAGATGGGGTAGAGTCTGGTTCATAAGGGGGGGATTTCAATGATATTTTGCACAATGGTGAGAAAAGGGGTGGGAATCATAGAGGAAAGACTAGTTTTTATTACCATGAATGTTGGAGAAAAAGGAAAAAAAAGTCTATTGGTCCACTTGATTTTTTATTTTTGGTAGGTCCCACTCAATGTGAGTGCTATGTACACCACTATGTACAATATTATGTACATATAGCATTTTCCTTATTGAAAATGATCTTTGCCTTGCTGTTAGTAATTTTTTTCAATATGGCTGCAGTCCTCATACCATAAACCACACTGTGATCACCTTGATCCCTAAAACTAAGAACCCTAAAACTGTTACTGACTACAGGCCAATTAGTTTGTGTACAATCACATATAGGTTAATTGCTAAAGTGTTGGCCAATAGACTCAAACAGGTGCTTCATGTTTGCATTTCCCATTCTCAATCAGCCTTTGTCCCGGATAGGCAAATCTTAGATAATGTAATAATAGCTAATGAATGTATTTATTTTTTTAATAGAAAAAGAAAAGGAAAAAAAGTACTTAGCCCTTAAATTAGATATGGAGAAAGCTTATGATAGGGTTGAGTGGGGCTTTTTGATCAAGGTCTGTAGGCAAATGGGATTTTGTGATGAATTTCTTGCATGGATTTGGTCCTCTATGTCTTCATCCTCTTTTTCTTTCAACCTAGATGGCCAACTCAGGCTCATGTGGTACCTACTAGGGGTTTATGACAGGGGTACCCCCCCTCACACCTTATCTGTTTATTATTTTGACTAAAGCATTTTCTAATCTTATTAGACAAGCTAGTATTCATAATTCCTTCAAAGGGTTAAAAATCAGCAAATTTTCCCCTTTTGTTTCTCACCTATTTTTTGCTGATGACTCCTTGATTTTTTGTCAGGCTAATAAGCATAATGCCATTTTGTTATTGAACATTATCAATGCCTACTGCAGTTCCTCTGGTCAGGCTGTAAATCTCCATAAATCCAGCATCTTCTTTTCGGCCAATACTTCAGAGGCTGAGAAGAGGGAGATCTGTAGTCTGTTCCATGGTATTCATGTGGCAAAAAAATCTAAATATTTAGGCCTTCCTTAGGTATAGGTAGAAATAAAAAAAAAAAAAAGATACTTTTAATTTTGTAAAAGACTGTGTGACATCCAAAATTTCAAATTAGAAAAAATCAATTTTTGAGTGAGGCAGGGAAAGAAATTTTGATAAAAATTGTTCTAAATGCTCTTCCAATATATGTTATGTTTGTTTTCAGACTTCCTGTGGGGATTTGTGTTGACATTTGTGCAGAAATTGCTAGGTTTTGGTGGGGGAAAAGGAAGGGGGAGGGAAGAGAATTCATTGGGCAAAATGGGAGAAATTGGCTAGAGAGAAGGGGGCTGGGTGTTTGGGTTTTAGGGATTTTGCAGCTCTTAATGAGGCTCTTATTCTCAAGCAATTGTGCAGATTGCTTACAAAGCCCAATATTTTAATGAGTAGGGTGGTGAGAGGTAAGTACTTTCATAATCAAAATATCTTTGATGTAAAAAAAAGGAGTGGGGATCCTTGGATGTGGAAAAGTTGGTTAGGGGCTAGAGATTCTTTGAGGCTAAGATTGAGGTACCAAGTGGGTAATGGTTTATCTATTAATATATAGAATCCCCTTGGATTCCTGATGTTGCAAATTTCAAGCCTAACCTATGTTTTTAAGGGGACAAGCAGAGGCTAATCAGAGTTGTGGATCTCATGGTAGAAGATGGGAAAGCCTGGGACACACAACTTATTCTACAAACTTTTGAACCAGAGGTGGCACAGAGTATACTGAAAATTCACATCATTCAAAGAACATCCATAGACAGATTAGTATGGCATCCAGACAAGAAAAGGTGTATTCACAGTCAAAGGTTCCTACAAGATCATCCTTCAACAGAAACAAAGACTGATGGGAGACATTGGGGCTAGCTCAACGAGTGATCAAATGCAGCAAATGTGGAAGAGGTTATGGAAACTTCCAATTAAGCAAAAGGTTAAAAATTTCTTGTGGAGGTGCTGGCATAGATGGGTGGGCACTCAAGA